TTAGGTAAAGGAGTAAAGCATTGTTATGCATGCAGGAGTTCATATAAAAGCTGACCATTGTCAGTCCATATTTACACACTGTTGGTATGGATCTTGCACATCTTCCTAAAGCTGTTTTTGCTGAATGACCCCTCCCTATAGACGTATTTTCGTCAAAAGGATTAGGTAGTAAACAAAACAACACACATCACACAAAATAACACACCACACTCAAAATAAAACAACTCATAAGATTACAAAACTATAAGGCATAAGTATTTAAACAACAGATAACCTAAAGTAGATAACTTAAAAATTAATACCAACTACACATAAGACAGTAACAGTAATGAATTACATACGTCATGAACTGATGCACTCACAATCCAGTAGTGAACAGTATATGACAAACCATGGAAACTAATCATACATAAGGAAATGTATGCTATATTACAAACATATGCCCTCATTGTTAGCCTATACCTGGTTCCACAATGTGTATGTAGAGTATGACTGAACAATTTAATCATCAGAGATTTCTGATGCCATACTGAAGCAGGCTACTATAAAAATGTTCTCTAAATAATACAATTGGCAATAATATTATAAGTCAGTTACTTCAGCAGATTCCTGAAGCACAGTGTATAAAACCTATCCTAAACAGAACATTGTAAAACTTATATTCTACTGAACTTATCTACTGTAAGTATTCAGTATTTCTCCATTGCTTTCAAACCTTTGAAATTCACTGTAAATTATGACATAAAATAACAGCTGGAACTTGACATACTGTCAGGAAACAAGCATACGTTTATAACCAAACACATAACCTTAAAGAGAGATTAACACGATTTACAGAGACATGTAACTGATTTTTGCTCCACAATAAGGTCTCAGTTTACATTATGTTGGCATATGTACATTAATTGGTGCAGTCAATATGGTTACATACATGCTCTTACCACTACGGTGTTTGGGTCAAAATTATTTGCAAAATTCATACTTTAATTACACATAATCCTAGAAGTGCAGCTATTAAAAATGTCACGATGCAATAAACACCCATTGTCCCTCAAAACGTCTTACAGGTTTTAAAGTACTGCGCATTACCTGATCACCAACTGCTTGATACGACGCAGGAAAACTCATTGGAATTGACGCATTGCCTCTCAGGGGATCCTTTTCCATGGTTTCAGGCACAGGAAAAACTAAAAAACGAAATTTGCATTTGTCATACGTAACAAAAAAACAAAAAGTTTGTGACATCGAATCACTACTATGGCGTCTAATTTTCCTTGCAGACGACATGTCACGTCATTTTCATTATATGAAAAATTATCAGTCACATGAACTTACCATTTTCGTTATATTATTGTAAAATAAAGAGGTAAAACTGAAACGTTCTTGCGTGTATGAACTATTCGTAATTGCAAATATGGTCCTAGAATGTTACTTTTGACTTCGACTTCTTTCCCTGACGAATACACCGATAGAATGCGATCATATGTTTAATTTTAGAGTCAAAGTAGGTTTCAATAAAATAACCACTGTTCGCCCACAAGTGTTTAGAATTATAAAAAATAACAATCTTTTAATGTAACTTGTAATATATCATAATTTATTATAACATTCGGCTGAGAAAGTAAAGACATCCACAATTAAGAGAAATGAGTATGAATGACGTAGAATAATGCGTGCAGTGACATGGCGCCGCCAGTCCATTAGAATTGGAATGATGACGGTGATGATGTTCTGGTTATTATACCAGGTTACATTATTACTAAAATATCTCAGAACTGTGGCGCAGTTGTTGTCGAGATTAATATTATTGCATTTCCACAAGACCTGACTTCTAGATCATCATTCGCCGCTGCATATTGAGTTACACATCAGTGTTCGTCGATCAAATATGCATTTTTAAAAGAGATGTAATTAAGATTTGAAACTCAGTTCATATATAAACGGGTGAGCTAATGTTCCTAAAATCTAAACTCTCTAAAAAGTTACATGGAATAGAATCCTTCAACGTCAGATCAATTTCCAATGTTGGCAGTACATGAAATAGGACTATTTCTAAACCGTAAGAGCCTCAACATATAAAATGATAAGAATAGGCCTACTGGTACAATTCTAGTCGTGACAAGAATTACAAGAAACAGAAAAGTTTTTTTGTGTGTGTGTGAGTGCCCTATAACTGGAGAAAGGACAAAAATCTTTTTAAAATGTGACACACAACGATTAAAAATGCGGATCTTTAAATCAGAACTATGTATTTTTAAGGTTATGCAGAACATTTTAGGCAATGTGCCCAAAATTATTCAACGCATTGAACCAAGAAATGTCTCGACTTATTTCAGTACCCAGTTTCTTAGTATGGAATTCGTAAGGAAGGATATCAGTTGTGAATGGGAAAGACTGGGCTGGGTTAAATAAGGTTTGGTGAGGTTAGGTTAGGTTAGGTACGATCATGCACAGAAGATCAAATGCAATGGAATAATTTTGCTTCATGACTTAAAGAAACCGTGTCGTTTGGGATTATCGAGTGTTGGAAACTAAAAAAAAAATCATGACTTTATAATATTTGCTTATAAATAAATGTTTTGAACTCACCATGCCAAACTTCATGAAAACTCCCACAGGTATGATTTAGTTACCTAGTTGCTGAATGCGGTAAATATATAATTGAATTTAATTATGTGAAAGGCACACACACACACACGAAGCCTGTACATTAGACTAATAATTATAAATTTCAAAAGCGAAGGAAATTTGCTCATGTATTCACACACACCTGCTCAGTCTCCTGTTAACTCAGGAACGTTGGTCCCGCATCACGCAATGTGGATCAGTGTCGTATCACATGACTACAAGTCATATGCATAAGCCGATACTTCAATTCGGTCTCCGCCTGTCGCCTGGAAATGTAATATTATTACACAGGATATTATCACACATTTACGTCACAACCTATGAAGCAGTTATCTTTAGAAAATAGTGCAAGAGTCTGGCATCTAACCCTAAAGACGCGAAGGCTTGCTTTGTACACATCCATCGCGTAACGGATCTGAAATTCATTTCATGGAGCTTACAGTCGCTCACTCTATAGGCCCACGACCTCAACAGATAACTACCTTACGGGCAGAGGGACCCGTTTCCTTTTGGATAGAGTAGCAGGAACGTGAATCAGACCACTGTCCCTTATCTATAGACGAGTGGTATCCAACCTGGGGTACGCGTACCCCCGGGGGTACGTGAAATTTAAAAAAAATTATTTTATGATAAATAATAATCAGGGCCAGATTTGGGGTTAGCCACAGGAGAACCAGACGTAAGGACATTCGATTTTGGAGCGCCATTTATCTCTCTCTCTCTCCTTTATGCGATTCTTATCTGGGCGGCTACTTTCATTTTACTACACATAGTGATTTGGAACCTGACTGAACACTATTAGGCGGGATTTAAACATATAATTTTGCTTCGCTAAAATACCTTTTGTTACTTTATTAATTTTTATACGATAGGCAATAATATATTTATTATTTAATAGCTTGATTCTCCTTTTTCTCATTTAAAACTTATTATTTAATACATTATTTTGGATGTAATTTATTTAATTTATTTTAGATGTCACATCAAAGTTAACCACGACCACTCTCTTACCAGTAAACACCAGAGCTTCTAGATTCTGGACGTGACGCTGTTAGCCATCCAGGAGTAGATATTTATAAAGTAATTAGCACCTGTTCGTACAAACTGACTAAAACCCAGTTTTAAGCGGTTTCAAGATGACAACACACAAAATGTTATAGCCAGTTTAAAATTCCTCAGATGTTTAGAAAAATCCCCTGTTGTTATGAAGTCTGAAGTTTTCTGTACGCTCACTGTATATGCACGATTCGTTCTCGTCCAGCTGTTTGATTCCGACAAAGAATTTGTTACAGAGACCGAATTACTGGAGTGAAAGCGAACTGGTGGTACTTGTCTCCGCGATTGTAACACGTAGTCAGTGATCGTTCTGTACTTTCGACCGCCCCAGGCCCCACCCTTCGGGGTGCCCAGTGCATCGACATTACGATGTATGAAATATTTCAACAGTGACAACTCAAGAACCAAAGTTTAAGCCAATAATATTAAACTTATAAGACACCGGCTTTGATATATATTCTTGTCTTTAGCTTGTAAAAATCTGAATGATGGGCCCGCATGCATTAGTTCATTCTCTATGTGTTTTAGATAACAGTTACATTTTAATATTATACTTTCACACGGGGTTCAGATTCTGTATAGCGACATATATCCTAACTCAGTTCATAGATATGATAGGCTAAGAAGCTTCTAGTTAGGTATCAGCACCGAAATAAATACTAAAACGCCTTGGAACAAGAAGTGAGTGGCCGACTTTTATGTTACTGAGGTCGGTTCGCGACGTGACACAAGATTGTGGCCAGCTAACGGTGTAGTCGGAATGAGCAGGGGGGACGTCGTTCACTGGTAAAGGCTGTGTACCGGAAGTATCCGCTTCGAGCCTCAGCCAGTGGCTTTCATTAATGACATCGATAATATTTGTTTAAATCTTGTCAGTCTATCGATAATATTTGTTTTAAATCTTGTCAGTCAAATCACAATAAAATTTCTATTAAATATTAAAATATTACTATAATTAACATTTAAATATTTAAAATATATTAAACTTAAATATAATTTCTTAAATGCAACTTTTAGTCAGATGTTTATCAGATTTCAAATGATGTTTCCTATTTATATTTTTATTTTATATTTAAGTTTATATAATTTTATACACCTGAAGATGGTTCTTTTAGAACTGAAACATGTCGTGTAAAAAAGTGATGGTCTAATGTAAATCGAATATTTCGATAGAGAACTTCATTTTAAATATTTAAATGTTAATTATAGTAATATTTTAATATTTAATAGGAATTTTATTGTGATTTGACTGACAAGATTTAAACAAATATATATTTATCACAATATGACGCAACTTTTATCATCTCATGGATATCGATAATGTTATATAGGGCTGTGAGGTCGTGTAGTATCGGATGGTTACCAATATTTCGGAGGAACGTATTGTCAGGGCAGAGGTTCTTCCAAAACGTTGGTAACCACGTACAAGATTACTTTTGGCGTCTCAAAGCAGAAGAACACAGTCGACATCATCTGTGAGAATCCCATATCTCAGATTAATTATTTTTCATGATTTTTCTTAGTCTGTTAAGGCTAGTATTTTAAATATTCCTTGGTACTTGATGAAGATGAATAAATTTCTCACTTAGGTAACCTTCAAATCATCTAGAACAGAGGTCACAAATGCACTTCCTTAGCCAAAAACACATTCACACGTGCGTGAAGGTTAAACTGAAGTTAAATTGTTCGTGACTCGTAATTCGAACGGGGAAGAAAGAAACGTTTACACAATTTTTATGATGAATCACATGAAACGTAAGAACTGAAGGCGTATACGGGAAACAGAAATATTAATAAAATCTATATCGGCTAAATATGGTAACACAGGAATGTTTCAGATGTGATTCAAACTGGGTTCTTCCTAAATAAAAGTCCAGAACGTTGTTACTACACCAAGCGTGCGTCAGTAACGACACTAGATTGAAAAATTATAAATCTTAAGGCTCCATGCAGGTCGGGAAATGTCATGTTTAGCTAAACGTTTCCCATAAAAAGGTTTTTAATGGGGTTATTTATTGTAACGTCGCGATTTAATGATCCCAAACTCGGGCGAAAAAAAATGTAACATTGTCTTCAGCTCCTCATTTTAATTCCAACAAGTTAGCACGTCTAGTTACAGGTAGATTCACTCGCAAGTAACTGGCGACTCGCATGGCAGACTCGTCGTGCCTGTCAGCCAACGCTCATTCGAGGAGGACAGCATTGATCGCTTGCCTGGCGAGAATATCAAATCACATCTCTAGTACAGATGGATAGATCTTCAGCATTGAAGGTAAGGTAACAGAATGTCTGTGTGGAGAAGAAACACGAAACCTGTTTTGCAAAAGGTTAGCACGTCGATAAATGGCCTCTGCACAAATCATCGTTTAATTACGACTATCCTCTGTGCTGGACACGTACAATGCGCAGTGCGTAGTGCGCAGTCTGTCCGACCTTGTGGCGCTGTGTGGTTACTACACAGCAAACCAAAGAAGTACGCCATTTTCATTGCGATAAAGTTGACCTTGTGGCGCTGTGTGATTACTACAGGAAACCAAATAAGTACGCCATTTTCATTGCGATAAAGTACAGACGATGGTCTTCTGGGTCGCTGTGTCGTGAAATATTCTGGACACACTGCCTCCATCTTCAAGGATGAAGTGAGGATGAATAGGAAGTGGACTGTGTGCAGAAAAGGGATTTTTGCTATTGATCCAAACACTTTTCATCTTCTCATGGCTCTGACTAGTCACTCGCCCTACTCCTGATCCCAAACAAACCATTTACTTCCTAAAAAACCTAATTTTAATCCCAAAAATGGAGGAAATACGTTCATAAGCAACGTTCGTATTCAGCCAAAAGACTACACAACACAACCCAGAAGGCCACAATCTACGAGACAATCTTAATTTATTTCATAACGTTAAATAATCTGTTAAATATATGAATTGTCATAAGTGACTGGTTACGAATTACGAGTAAGGAAGGATACGGAACTGGTCGTGGTCTATTTGAAACTGAGACAACAGCTGAGAAAAATTTACCAAAGTCTCGTCCACAGTCCGGCTTAGATTCGAACCGTATTCCTTCCGGAAACAGATGTAGACCAGTATACATTCACAGCTGTTTGGATGTGAAAGTGGGCGTGGTTTATTCTGTGGACAGGGCGTGAGAAACCTAAGAGATGTTTCTCTGTTCACGGTTGGAAATGCTATTAAACCTCAGTAGTTGTTACAATACCATAACACAAGCGAATACCCAATCTATTCAAGCGCCACTCTTCACACCATCATCGTGCGTTATGTTGTGATGGCCTCTGTCGACGTGGAGGTCGTCTAGTCTCGGAATGACTGAGGTAGGACCACAGTTATAGGCTCGATGCACACGAGCGAGTTATTTTGGCGAGCTCGCCGCGTCATTTTCTCGCGCGTTTTAGCAGTACATGTGAAGTAATGGAGCAACGCACGCTATGGCTCGTTTCACACATATACGGCGACCGTCCAAACGGTACCGTTTACACGGAACGGTGAAAACTTCACACAAAACCGATCATACCCGGAGCCGGTTATTCTGTTGTTTGTTGCCAGCATAACTTGACAGTAAAACAAAAAGTTCTCAGTTATCGTCTCTCTAGAGCCTCGAAGGTACATAGAATGCTCGTTTGGAATATTAAGTAATAAATGGATGATCTTTCATCGAGCTATAAACTTGCAACCTGATTTTGCTGTAGACATTGTCAAGGCTTGTGTTGTTATATACAACTTTGTTCGGGAGAGAGGATACATTGACAATCACAGGTCCTGATAAAATACGTGGTGAAGAAATAGTGCGCGGGGGAATATCAGCAAAGAGTGTGAGAAATCTTTTAGCTGACTACTTCTTAACACCTGTTGGCTCTCTGAAATGGCAGCTTTCAAAGATTTAATTTCATGAACGTTAATCATATTTTTATTACTATACCTATATTTAATTGTAGAACAATTCATTTCATTGTAGAAAGTTTAATAAATTCACATTCACTGATTATTACTTCACAAGGTTGGTACTTAAGTCACGGAACCGGGCATTACACACGGCACGTGTGAAGGAAGCCATTCAACTGTTCACCCGACTACCAACGTGGTACGCCGTTAGAACGGTCATGGCGACTTCACGGTAGACCGTTACCGTATAGACGGCACCGATGCGTGTGAAAGCTCTCGTATAATCTTCGACCTTTAACCGTGTAAACGGAGCCGTTTGGACGGTCGCCGTATATGTGTGAAACGGGCCTTACGATATGTGGAGTTCAGACTATCTTTGACAGCTCAATGAGTATTCTGAGGGAGTTGGGTTCGATGAACGCCGAGGTCATTAGATCAAGAGTGTGAATATCCGGGATCATATTCAGTGAATACAGCGGTTATCTTAAACAGCGTTTAACGACTGGTCTTTGTCAAGGACACGCGTTGTTTTCTTTGAGGTAGGAACTGATTTTTTTAAAAATATTATTCAGATGAGCTTCGTGCTTCAAAGACACGGATTTGATTTAATGTCACATTTAAGCAAGAAGTCTGCGCCATCCTTTGGTACTGTTCCCTCTTAAATTGTGTGGTGTAGTTGTTGAAATAATTCACTGGTCTTAATTCCAGCAGTAGTTGAGACAACATATGTTGTAGAACTTACGGTAACTTCCGCTCGCTTATGAGAATAAGCAGCTTTAAAGATGGCGCGTGAGCGCAACGGATGGCATAATCGGTGTAACTGCCAAGGTCTGGGATAAGCTGCTGCTCGTATAATCTTCGACCTTTAACCGTGTAAACGGAGCCGTTTGGACGGTCGCCGTGTAACGGGCGTATGGCGGTGACGCCGCGAGTTCGCCGATCGCCGCAGACTGTGTGTGTGAGCAATGGGCAGTGCACACGTGGTTCGCAATCCTCGCAACAGCTACCGCCTTCCAGTCATGGAGGAAGTATTACAAGCCTCATCGCAGAATCTTTACTTTTGATTGATGCATCCAATTTTGCTGCTAGCTCATCTAACGACTTTAAAGCTCATACGAAAATAAATATTAAATTTACTTTCATCTTCTCTTAAATCTGTAAACACTGTCATTAAAACCCCTTTTAACAGCCGTGAACTAACCAACGGGTGTGTCCAATACTTCCTATCGCGTTTTTTAACGATGTATTCATAAACGAAATAGAGCAAAACTACACGTTTCCTTCTGTACACATCCATTTTTGGTTGACATCCAATCTAGTACCGGCGTGCTCTCAGAGATGGCGCTAGTGTGCAGTCACGGGTTTCCTCGCTGGGAGCACGCGCGGCATTTTCCCGCTCGTGTGCACCCGGCCTTAGAAGTAAACGCGTAAACGAATTATAAAAAAAACAGCCGGGTCAGTTAACCTAAACAGGAAACACCTGTTTAATCTAGGGTCTAGGTCTTCTTCTTTTATGTGAAGGTCCTGTGTATATAAGATGAGAAGCGAATATTCTTCTGCAGTGTGTGTAAGAGGATATCCAAGTAAACAATAATTCTCCGATCATGCTGACGAAGCTTGAAAGCCGTTACAACCTTCTTCTCCTATTCATGGTAATCTACTGGTCGCCTGAAGGTGGATACTGCAAAGTGTACGAGAGATGCGAATTGGCAAGAGAGCTGAAGGAAATTCACAACATCTCAGAAGAACAAATTCCAACGTGGGTCTGCATTGCTCAACACGAATCTGATTTCAACACCTCAGCTGTAGGACACGTGAACGGCGATGGTAGCGGGGACCACGGCCTCTTCCAGATCAGTGACTTGTACTGGTGTTCTCCTCCAGGAAGAGGTTGGGTTTGCGGAGTCTCCTGCGCAGATCTGGAAGATGATGATATTAAGGACGATGTTGCGTGTGCCAGAACGATATATCGCCAGCACCAGAGGTTGAATGGTGACGGATTCACAGCATGGGCAGTGTATCAGCCCTACTGCTACGGAAAGGTGACTGTGGCCAAGTATGTGGAAGGCTGTGAGAAGATGACCACAAAGACGACAGCGGTGGAAGAACCGTTAGTGAAGAACGAGGTTGCCAAAATCTCAAAATCTGAGTTCAAAGTAGAAAGATCG